ATGGACCCAATTAATCACCTTAGAAGATTGGTAACCTCGGGGTGATGTTGGGATTGACATGGATCCAATTGAGTGCTCTTAAGGGATTGGTAACTCCTAGGGTGATGTAGGGATCGGCATGGACCCAATTAATCACCTTAGAAGATTGGTAACCTCGGGGTGATGTTGGGATTGACATGGATCCAATTGAGTGCTCTTAAGGGATTGGTAACTCCTAGGGTGATGTAGGGATCGGCATGGACCCAATTAATCACCTTAGAAGATTGGTAACCTCGGGGTGATGTTGGGATTGACATGGATCCAATTGAGTGCTCTTAAGGGATTGGTAACTCCTAGGGTGATGTAGGGATCGGCATGGACCCAATTAATCACCTTAGAAGATTGGTAACCTCGGGGTGATGTTGGGATTGACATGGATCCAATTGAGTGCTCTTAAGGGATTGGTAACTCCTAGGGTGATGTAGGGATCGGCATGGACCCAATTAATCACCTTAGAAGATTGGTAACCTCGGGGTGATGTTGGGATTGACATGGATCCAATTGAGTGCTCTTAAGGGATTGGTAACTCCTAGGGTGATGTAGGGATCGGCATGGACCCAATTAATCACCTTAGAAGATTGGTAACCTCGGGGTGATGTTGGGATTGACATGGAATTAACATCGATCCAATAAAAGATTGGTAACTCCCAGGATGATGTACAGATCCGCATGTATCCAATTGATCTCCCTTAGAGGATTGGTAAACCTCAGGGTGATGTTGGAATTGACATGGATTCAATTAATTATCCTAGGGGATTGGCCCCCCTACCCCCGAGGTAATGTAGGGATTAGCATGAACCCAATTGATTCTCCTCAGAGGATTAGTAATCTCAGGGTGAAGCTGGGATCAGAATGGATCCAATTGATTACCCCTAGGGGATTAGTCTCCTATGGGTGATATAGAGTTCGGCATGAACCTAATTCATCGCTCTTATAGGATTAGTAACCTCAGGGTGATGCTGGGATCGACATTGATCCAATTGATTGCCTTAGGGGATTGTTAACCCTTGGGATGATGTAGGGATTAACATGGACCCAATTGATCGCCCTCAGAGGATTGGTAACCTCGGGGTGATGTTGGGATTGACATGGATCCAATTGAGTGCTCTTAAGGGATTGGTAACTCCTAGGGTGATGTAGGGATCGGCATGGACCCAATTAATCACCTTAGAAGATTGGTAACCTCGGGGTGATGTTGGGATTGACATGGATCCAATTGAGTGCTCCGAAGGGATTGGTAACTCCTAGGGTGATGTAGGGATCGGCATGGACCCAATTAATCGCCCTAGAAGATTGGAAATCTTGGGGTGTTGTTGGAATCAACATGGATCCAATTGATTGCTCCTAAGAGATTAGTAACTCCCGGGGTGATATAAGGATCGACATGGACCCAATTGATCACCTCCAGAGGATTGGTATCTTCGGGGTGATATTGAAATTTGTATGGATCCAATTGATTGCTCCCAAGAGATTGGTAACCCTCGGGGAGATGTAGGGATTGACATTGACCCAATTGATAGCCCCAAAAGGATTGGTAACCTTGGGGTGATGTTAGGGTATGCATGAATCCGATTTTGCCTTAAGGTACTATTCGCTTTATGTGAAATTTTGTTGGAGATCAACAAAGGATCCAATGATATTGTTAAACAATTGATACGAACCAAGATAGTTTGTGGAGTTTTGAAACATACCATATTTGTTGTGCTTTGATAATGAAATTGTCGCCCAAGCACCAGTTCATGGAGTATGTTGGCTTTGGTACACACCTCTCATTTCTTCAATTTATCATCAACTCTTTTTTATTTGTTGTATATGATGTTACCATAGGCGTGCATGCACACGATCAGCAAAAACTTATAACATTATTAGGTTTTCATTTCTTCTTTCCTTCTCCAATTTCGTTCTTCTTTGGGCTTTCTCCTCTCCTTCTTAGCCACCGAAACCTCTTTGACAAAGGCTCTGTGTGCGCCATTGCCAAACCTCTCTTAACCATCATCTCTCTTAACCAACCTACCTCTCTCTCATCCTCTTTGACAAAGGCTCTGTCCGCTCTAATCCTCTTTGCGCAAAACCTCATCTTAGGCAAACTTTTCTATCAACCGCACCTCTGTCATCCAGCGCCTCTCTCAGCCTCCGCTTCTCTTTGAGCCGCCACCTCTCTTAGTCGCCGCCATCACATGTCATATTGTCTCTTGTTTTTTTTTTCTTTTCCCTCTTCGAATCTCTAGCTAACTCTATCTGTCTGCAATTCGCAGATTCAGCACAGCAGTTTGCAGCCACCTCTTCATTTTATTTACCTCTCTTTCTCTCTGTCAGGTATGATTCACCATAAACTATTTGAGAATTTGAGTTTCTTCGTTATGCTGCCAAGTTTAGTTTATTTCTCCACCTAGCTTGGGTGTGGTTCTTAGTTTTGTTATTGTCTGCTGTTTGCATATGGTGTTTTTCAAATTCATTTAAGGTTGCGGTTCAAATTGATTTAGAATGTTTTTCAAATTGATTTAGGTTTGATTAAAATAAAATCATTGCCCTAGAAATTTATCAAATTGATTCAAATTAATGGAGGTTTGATTAAAATAACATGGCAGCCCTAGAAATATTCTATCAGTTGAAAGTTATGTATAGAAATTATGAGATTGATTCACACTGCATGCTAAACATTTTGGACAATCAAGCCACCATTCATTGAAAGAAGTTTTGTTTTTGTAGGAGACTTCAAGAGGCATTGTCCCAATAGCACACACCATTCAACAGTTCTGTAGTAGTTCGTGCAGATCAGCAAGAAATTTCTAGAGCAGTTTGCAGCTTCCAACAGCAGTTCTGCTACTTTTTGTAGATTTTTAAACTGTTTTTGTGGATAAATTTCCTCTGTTTGTAATTGTTTTCATATGCCAAATTCATGTTGCTTGATCATGGGCCCAAATAAAAGTTTACCGAGGAATTGATTAGCATGACAGCCATAGAGAGTTATCAAATTGATTAATTGGTTGTGCATAACAGTCTAAGGCCATCCCCAATGGTTGGGGCTCTAAAAATGGTTTATAGAGCCCCATTTAGAGCTTCGATGGAATCTTTGAGGCTCTAAAGGAATCTCTCCCACAATGGGAGGCTCTATATTTTTTTATGATGTAATTTGATTTACGTGAATTTTTTTTTTGGGTTAACTATTTTACTTTAATATTTATTCATGTTATTTTTTTTTTTTTGTGAACATTTCAACAAAAAAAAAAAATCAAAATTTGGACAAGATTTGGAAATCATGGTGATGTCCTTCTCCTATGCAATATTTTGGTTCATGCATGTTGACCGTTGGAATAGGTGTTGAAACAATTGAATTTTGGTTCATGCATGTGGGCCAACATGCAACATTCAAGCCAAGTTGATCATGTACAGTTCGGGAGCAAGTGGGAAATCAAACAAAAGTGGCTGTAGCTTTTTCACTTGGTGGGTCCCACTCGGTTTCAAGGGCTTCAACCAAGGTCACACATTTAGTTACCACTCCGGTGAGGCTTGAAGTTTTAGAGCCCCAAATTTGCACCATTGGGGATGCCTTTTTAGAGAGAGTTTGTAAATATTGGAGCCTTGTGGTGGTTGAGCCCCAAATAGAGCCCCCATTGGGGATGGCCTAATAAGTTTTAGTGGCTGTGCATTCAAATTTATAATTAGTTGTGCATTCAAATTGATTAATTGATTAATTGACAGTGCATAATAGATTTTCTATTCAGTTTTTCAGTTTTGCAGATTTTCAAATTTTCAGTTTTTCGTTGACTTTATTACTACTGTCATAGACATATTTTGAGAAATTGGGTTGCTTAAGGTTTTTTGTTTTTTCGTGCTAAATCCAATGATGCAAAGAATATTGAAATTGGGCTAGTAGTTTGAAAGTTAAATGCTAAAAATTGAACAGAGGTCAGATTTGTCAAAACTGCAATTTGAAACTCTTTATTTTCTTGCTTTGCTTAAGTCTAGTTAATTGGTTTCTATTTTTTAGTTGCTTGCTAGTTAAGTGTTGATATTATCATTTAGTTGGAAATGAAGCTTTGTATAATGATAATGTGCTATATGCTTTGTATAATGATAAGTGTTGCTGTATGTTGAGTTTATGTTAAATACATGCTATATATGCTGGTACAAAAAGTTAGCATGATAATTTGTAATTGGATTGTATATATGATGTGTTGTTTATCATTAAGTTGTGTTTTTATTAATATCATGTTAAGTTTTTTGTTTCTTAAAGAAATCATGAATGAGTCGAACTCATTTGGAGAGGTGCATGCCACTACTAATAGTGAAGTTGGTTCGTCATCCGCATTGATATCCACATCCGCATCTGCATCTGCATCAACATCTTTACCCAATTTACCCATCCCTCAAACACCAACTCAAAATACACCTCATGCCCAAACACAACCTCAATCTAGTGGTCTTCCACCATTACCTCATTCTGGCCCATGAAGAGAAAAATCGGAAGTATGAGATCACTTTGAGAGATATGAAGAAGTGGTTGAGAGTGTGAAAGAGGATGGGAGCAAATATGCAACCACTAAGAAGAGAACTAGGTGCAAGTATTGCACTATGAGCTATGCAGCAGACTACTAGAAATGAGACCTCAAATTTGAGGAAGCATATTGAAAACCTATGTAAGAAATATTCGGGGAGGGTTCCTAAAGATAAACGGCAAAAGCTCTTGTTTTTTGACCAAGAATTTGAGGTTCTTACATCTACAATGCATGGTAGTAATGGATGAGATGCCTTTTAGTGGTTGAAGGAAAAGGGTTTAGGCGGTTTTGTAATTCTTTGAACCCCCATTTCCAAGTGCCATCTCGTAGGACACTTGTGAGGCATTTCATGGTAATGTATGATGCCATGAAACAAAAATTGAAAGAAGAATTAGCACCACATAGAGTATGTCTCACAACGGACACTTGGATAAGTATCCAAAACATCAATTACATGTCATCATGACACACTTCATAGATGGTGATTGGAACTTGCACAAAAGAATCTTGAACTTTTGTGTCATTTCCAATCATAAAAGGAACTCAACTGGTAAACGCCTCGAGTCATGTTTGCTTGATTGGGATATAAAGAAGATATTAACCATCACGGCTGATAATGCTTCTTCAAAAACAAAGGCCATAGATTACTTAAAGTCAAAAATGGGTCATTGGGGAAATGGTAGTCTTCTATTAGAGGGAAAGTATATGCACATTAGGTGTTGTGCTTATATTGTGAATTTGATAGTTCGTGATGGGTTGAAAAAGTTGGAAAAAAGCATATTGTGTATAAGAAATGCGGTGAAGTATGTAAGATCTTCTCCCAAAAGGTTAGAGGACTTTAAGAGTTGTGTTAAGAAAGAGCAAATTGAATGCAAAGGGCTTGTGGTGTTGGATGTGCCAACAAGGTGGAATTCCACATATATGATGTTGGAAGCCGCCTTAAAGTTTGAAAAAGCCTTTTGGAGAATGGGAGAAGATGATGAATGCCCATATATTTCTTGGTTTGGTGAAGATGAATCGGATCTCGAAGATAGGGTGGTTATGTCTCATTACCCTAGAAAGAGGGAAGGGCCACAAACTAATAAGGATTGGAACAATGCTCGTACTTTTTGTGAAAATTTTAAAGGTATTTTATGATGTTACATTGAAGATGAGTGTCACTTTGCATCCCGCTTCCCATACCAAATTTCACGACTTGATTGCAATGGAAGAAGAAATTGAGGATTTGTTGATGGAAGAGGAGGAAATATTAAGTGAAACCCAAACCTCCAAGGTTTTGAAGGACATGGCACTTAACATGAAGATGAAGTTTAAAAAGTATTGGGGTGACCTTGATAAATTGAACCAAATTTTAATGGTTGCTCTTGTTCTTGACCCTCAATACAAATTGGGAAACTTGGAGTTTATCTTGAAAAGCCGATTTGAAAATCCGGAAGATGCGGTTAAGAAGAAGAATGAGATCAAAGAGATTTTAAACAAGCTTTATGAAGAGTATGCCATGCCACCACCACCACCACTTACTCAAAGTAGTAGTTATTGTTATAGTGATACTACTACAATGAATACAAGTAGTAGCCTAAGCCGAAGGGGAAAGAAATGAAGGCAAATGACTGAAAATTGGAGAAAAGAGTCGAGCAAATGATGTTGTGGTATTGGAGCATGAGATTGATAGGTACATCACCGACCCTATTGAAGATGTGGTTGATGAATTTGATGTTTTGAAGTGGTGGAAATTGAATGGGGTTAAGTATCCGGGGTTGGCACTTATTGTAAAGGATGTGCTTGCCATCCCGGTATCAACGATGGTTGGGTAGTTAATTCATTTCGTGCTTCTTTGACTCCTAAGATTGTGGAGGCCTTAATTTGCTCTCAAAATTGGTTAAGGTCGGATGACATATCCTCTTTACAATATGAGACAACAATTCAAGAGATGGAGTTCTATGAATTGATTGAATTAGGTATGTCTTTGTAATTTTATGTGATTTATTAATGTATTATATAATATGTATGTTTGAGTAATGTTTTAATGAGTTTATGTTTTTTTATGTAGATATTATGAACCGGTCTGCACTCTCGGATCATGTTCCATTTTTTCCCAAAAATCGGTTCAAATCAAACCATGCCCACCCCTAGTGGTGACTAAAGAGCATTTGAATGATTGAAGCATATAATATAAATTTTTTAGATTTCTAGTTAGTTTTCATGCAAATTGGAAATTGAACTTGGGATTAACCAAAAACAATATCTTCCACAAAATGAACAACGAATTCTTGCATGACTCAAATTAGGTGCTTAAACACTTCATGAATATATGATTATCAATGCATTAGTGTAGAAAAACATTACATTAATTAAGAATTTCAAGAAATATAATAGTTGAGCTAGTTCATACCTGTAGAAGCTAACTATATTGAAAAGATAACCAAGAATTATTAGGACATAACTTCCATGATAGACTTAAGCAATAATATACGTAGCAAAGAGAGTAAACCATTGCATTGGGAAATTTTTGACAGAAGTTGTTGTTCACATAGCTAATATCATATAGAAGTCTTTTAAAAAGAAACGCGATCAGAGTAAAGCATATCTCGACTTAGAGACCAACCAAGTTACTTGCACTAGGCATGTGGAAAAATTATTTTACTTGTTACTGTAGCAATTAGTAGCATTCAATTTAATATAATTTTATTGAGGCAAAAGCCAAGTTAATTGACCAGAAGCATACTTTTTGAGCATCTTTCAATAAATGTAAAAGTTTCGAATCATGTTAAACTGCACCTGATATAGGCATCTAATTGGCATGCACATAAGTGAAATAATATGACATGTATGTTAATGACCATTAGAAATATGTAAACTTGTTGGCAGTTTAGTATTATGTGAAAGTCAAAGTGGATGGGTTTCGATGATTTCTTATCTTGCTTTGAGAGAAGTTGACTGAATGGCTAGCATCAGATATAGTAGTGGCTGCTTCGTTCAATCATTTAGGGCCCATTCAGTTCTAAAGGGAATATTGTGGGAATGGTGTTGTGTAGAGATTTTTAAAAACTCTACAACCAAACTTTAAAAGTATAAATTACCTAGCATGCCATATTTAATATGAAATCAAAGTAAGACGGAAGCATTAAATAAACTAGGGATTCATGCAAGTCTCATTTGGTCCAAATCTTTATAAGTCTATGAAAGTGTTCACCAAAGACTCTCTAAATCCTATTTGAGAGAAAGATAATATGTTCATACCCTTGGAGCGAATCTTGAAACGAAGAATGGTATTCAAGTAGAGGGAGTGGTCCCTTTGTTGTTGGCTTTCCCTTTGATGTTGATTCTCCACCTTGTAGCTCTCCAAATAGGTACAAATGCACCTCCCCAAAGCTCTTCACCAATGATTGAATGAGATGAGAGAATGAGTAGAGAGCAAGTGAAGAGTGGTGGCTAGCACCCTAACTTGATGTGATAGACTCAAGGGGTTAGGAAGAGAGAGCTTGATGTTTTCTCTCTTCCAATTTTTTCAACTTGAAAATCATAGGATGATAGGATTCCATAGCTACACACTTATAGGGTAAAATGTCACAAGAGTGACAAAAATGCCCCCAAACCTTAGTGTAGCCGCACCCCCCCTTTGTGTGTCATCGTTTGCTATCTTGGTCCAACACATTAATCCTATAATGTGTCACATATGTGCCTAAGTCCATATGGTCAAATCCCTTTTGAATTTCCAAGTCATATGAGACCTTTAATTAAAATTTCATAACTTTAATTGAATAATTAATTAATCTAATCAATTTAATTACTTTAGTGACTTGACTAATTCAATCACTCGCTTGTTTAACGAAGTGTTGGTCCCAATCCTCCTTAGTTGACCGTGTCAAGTGTCGGGTCAACCATTTGACCTTTGACTTTCACATTGACTTTGACCAAGTCACAAAATTATTCATTATCTTCATAATTTCCCAATCGATTCCTTTTCAGTGTGCGATCTTATAGGTTCTAATTAGCGAGGCAGTGGGTATGAATGATTCACTCTGAATTAAATGTGAATTGTATCCCTCCATATAGTTTGTGATTACAATGCAATTCGATTCTTATCTAATTCAATACTCTATGTCATGTTCTCGGGATATGGTAAACTTGTGTCAAAATTCCTAATATGACATCTCTAGATTATATGATTCAATTTGACGAAATTGCAAACGTTCTTGTTTCAATTTCCATCCAATATTTTGGCCAAAGATTCACGAATCATATCTTTGGAGTATTCTCTCTTCTTACTAAGAGCATAGATTCATTGTTGTATATTCACTTGTCTCTGCTTACATCTTGAGAATCATGAGGAACACCTTTAAGTCACTTCATTTTGATAAGACCATATAGTGCTATCAAATAGAAACAACATATACACAAGACAAGTGTGATGTTAATTTGTATTATCACCACTTAGAATTCTTTGTTTGACACTTGTAAGTAAGACTTCCATACAAGAATTCTAGAGTTGATCGCGTTCAATGGACTCCATCTTCTATAAAGCACCTACACATCTGTCTTAGTGTCTCTCCACGAATGACTTGAGACTAGTCATCCTCCCAATTGAGCAGACATAATGTATACTAGTCTTTGCAGGTCACCATTGTCTAATTGGTGATCCTATGACCAGGAACATTTCAGGATGCGATATTTATATGTATGGAAAGGTCTCGTGCATCTAACTTCTTTAGACCACTTTCCATTTATATCTTAATCCATGGACTTGTTACTTTGTGTACGTTATGTATCTAAAGCAATGTTCTTGCCCATTTGATTATTATATATTATTTCCTTATAATTATCCATTTTATATTGGCTTTTAAGGCATATATCTAATAGGTTCAAGGAACGAATTTGATGGGAAATCATTTCCCATGTCATTTCTCAAGGGATGAGAAATAGAAGATTCCTTTCCCACGTTTAGTAATGTTGAGAAAATAACCAAGAGATATCACTTTATTTCATTTCCCATGTTTGTTTTGAGTAGAAATGGAAAACAAACTTTGTATAAATTTTCAATTATACTCATATTAAATCAAATAAATAAGAATGCATTTAATGATATATTGTAATTCTAAATTGTTAATGGGGACAAAATAGTCATAAAAAATGTTTATTTAATATTGACTCATTTTCCCAAACTTTCCCATGAGGAGGGAAAACAAAACTAAAGTTGGGAGGATGACTTCACTTTCCCTCTACATTCCCATGTTTGGACTTACCAAACATGGAAAAGTAATTGATTTCTCATTCCCAAGTCTCATTTTTCATGAACCAAACGGGCCTCAGGATTGAAATGATTTTCCTTCCTTTTGGGTCTGCATCAATAAGAACTAGTTTTGCAGATACTCAATAAGATTATCAAGCGCTGCTGCATCAGAATTGGTGGGATATGTTCAATTGCAATATATATGCGCAGCGTTTAGAAGAAATAATACAGTAAATATCTTAGCAAGTGTAGACAATCAAAGAAAACACTACAATCTTTCACTTGAGGTTTCAGGCAAAGTCATTAACATTTGCTAGAACTACATAAGAATTGCACAATTTAATTAAAAAGCTAGAAAACATGAAATAAAAAAGGCAAAAATAAATCCAAACTGAAATACATCTGCGTTGCCCAAAAAATGTATTGCTAAATGTTTGGGCTATCCCACTTGAGTTTCAGCCCGTTGGCCCCAGCTATGTTACTGTCTACAAAGCAATAGATATAGGATGGTCCCATGATGAAAGAACTACTGACCTCGTACCCGTGCCTCTAAGCGTATTTTTCTTAAGCATACAAGCCTTACCCCAAAGCAAATATAAAAGGCATATGAAATCAAATTCTTATGGGAATGAATCTGAGCATGGGGCAGGCGCTCGTCCCAGTAAAGCTAATGTATTTCCGCATAATACAGCATAGCGTTGCAGTGAACATATATAATAATGTAAAGAAGATATAGTAAATACGTTGACAATGCATGGGAAATCATGAATGTAAGATAAGAAGATTTTCTTATCTGCTCGGTGGCTTAGACGATGTGTAATATTAGTGCCCGTTATTGGGCAAATGACAATGAGGTTGCTCTGGCGGCGGCTTGCTTGGGGTCTCTTTTGATCTACACAGTCACTTCGCATCTATCTAAGCAACGATATATTCGCAGGCAGAATTGAACAACGCTGAAAATTGGATAGGAATGTAGTAGACGTGCCCCCAATTCATCGTTGTTACAAATCAGGAACATGACTTGGTAAACAGTCCTCCCCGCTGCAGGTTTGGATCGATGGATATTGGTGTGCCCATTGGTGCCCCCTTTCATTTGGTTTGTTATGGGATAGGAGTCAGGACTCTTCGACTAACGTCTGTTTGAAGGAGTTAACTCGTGCTCCATTCTAGCACAGGTGAGCCTTCAATTATACAGTGTCCCTTGCTCCTTAATATGGCTTGTCGTCTTTTTCCGTTCTCCCTTCTTCTAGGAATGTGGGCTCCTCAACCTTACCAATTGAAGATCCTTCGTCTTTTACTCTCCCATCCTCCACACTTTTCTCAGGCTCAGCTTCATCATGTTTCTTCTCTCTTGTGGTGTATGTTTAGGT